GTGGTGCTTTGATGGAGGCGTAGAGGAAGATGTGAGAGGGCAGAGAGGGGAGGGCCCTGATTTCTCGGAGGGTCTCAGCCCAGCAGTGAATCCTGCCTCTCTCTGATCTGCTGTGAGACAGTAGGCAAAACTCCCTTTGGTCTGTTTCTCAGGACCCCCTCTGTCACTGGCGTTTGGCCTTTTCAAAGGGGCTGTGAGGTCCGCTCAGCTCTGTGCTCTTTAAAAGAAGGAGCCAGGGGGACCCAGAGGGAGATGGAAGTGGGGGGCGGGTTGGGGCTCCTCCTTTTGTAGTTAAATGGACCCTCGGAAGCCTGGACCCGCTGGGAGCCGCTCAGCGGGCAGCCTGGCCAACGCCCCCGGCCGGGATGGTTCTGCCCTGACCCTGTTCAAGCCTTAGGTTTCAGGGGCTAAGTCTGGGCGTTTATTGAGCAGACTGGAGGGCCCTTGGGGGTGGGGTAGAGGAAGACTCCAGGTCAGGGATACACACATGACATCCTCAGGCCACATGGACACACAAACGTGCTGCCTACACAAGCACACACCCCTGTCCCCCGAAGAGTTTCCTCTCTGCGGGGCTGGCCCCTCTCCCGCCCAGCACGCCCGCCAGCAGCTAGGACAAGACCTGGCAGCAGAGCCCAGCCCCAGGCAAAGCCGTGGAGGGTGGACTGGACGCTCAGTCCCAGCCCAGCCTCCTACAGTCTCTGGGCTGCAGCCCAGAGGCCCTGGGTCAGGGATGAGGGGCCAGGAGGTGGGAGGAGAGGCCCAGAACCTGCAGGGGTGGGGGTGAGGGCGCTAGAGCCCCTGCCCCCTGTGTGGCCCTGGGCGGCTCTCCCACCGCCCTCCCACTCCACACCTCGAGCCTCAGTCTGGGGTCGAGGTTGGAGCCAGTGACCCCCAAACTCGTTCAGGGATCACCGGCACTGGGAGGATGCAGGGTGAGTCCCCAGGAGGCGTGGGGCCGGGCAGCTATGAGCTGGCCCCTTGGGGCTTTATCCTGGTTTGGGGCTCAGTTCAGCCCTGTGACCTGCTCTTGCGGGTCCCAGACCCGATCCTCTCCCCTCGGGTTCTGCCAACAGCCCCCCTCCCTCGGCTCCCCTTAGAGCTGCCCACGCTGCTCCCCTGCTGACCGCTCCTCCCTGGCTCCCCACACCCTGCAGGATGAAGCCTAGCTCCTGAGCCAGCATTCAGGACCCAGCGCGGAGTGTCCCTGCGCGCCCCTCTGGCTCTCCTCTCCCTCACCTCCCTGCCCCACCCAGCCTGCAGGAGAACTGGACGTTTATGGAATACACAGGCTGTTCCCTCTGCCCGAATGCCCTTCCTTGCTGTGGCCCCTGGGTGAATGCTCTGCTTCTTTTCAAGCCCCAGTCCATACCCCCCACAAGGTCTTCTGATTGGCTCCCGCTCCAGCGCAGCCTCTGCCTGCTGGCGCGAGTGTCTCTGACCAGGCATCCACTTCATCCCGGCAACCAGCGGCGTGAACTCAAGGCCCAGAGGACCTTGAGGTGTCAGTGTCCCTACTGCTGTCTGTCAGCCTGCCTCGGTCTCCAGCGCTGATCTTGCACTCCTTCCCTCCTTCCTCAGAGGACTTAAAACAAATCTGCACAAATCTGCCTACAACACCTTGGGTGGTCAGAGCACATACAGTGGTTGATATAACTCAGAGAAGCTCCTCCTGTCACCATACAGCATCTCTAATGGCCCATCACTTTGTCAGGCACACCACCATTAGGACTTTGATCCTTTGAGGACAGTCAGATTATCCTTCTTATGGGTCCCTGATGAACGTACACCCGTGTGCAGGGGGCTTCCGAAGGTAGGGCTGGCAAAACAGAGATCATGGGTTGCCATTCACATACTCACGGCAGGCATCGCTAATCAATTACAGTGTTCGTTTCCCACCGAACTTGAACTCAGCCCCTGAATCCTCAATACAGTCTTTGAGCTAGATACAACCAATTCACCAGACCTAGTGTATGATTCGAAACAAATTTGTCCTGGGGTCTCTGGGTCATTCCCTTATCTCCTAGTGGGGCAGCTCAAAGTTGAAGGAGAGAAAACCCACCCTTGGGAGAGCCTTTTCCAGCCTCCTCTGGGCTTTCTGACTTTGCCTGGGGTTCTGAGGCAGTCATTGGCGGCAACATGTCTCACACACTTGCCTGTTTGCTCATGAGCTTTGTGGCCTTAGGCCCATTCCTTGCCCTCTCTGAGCTCTAGCTTCCTCATCTCTAAGGGAGGATTGAATGAGATCATGGGTACAAAGCCCAGCACACAGTAGATGCTTAGTAAATGTGTGGGTGTCTCAACCCTCACCTACCCACTCAGCCTGGCCTGGCAGCTGTGGGCTTGACTGGCCGACTCACACCTAACCTCATTTCCTGGTTCTGCCCTGGGCCCACCTCCTGCTCCTGTCTGTTCTCCTCTAGAAGGAAATCTCATTCACTGCCTTCCTGGCCCAGCCCCATGGGCCCTTCTTCCCCCTCCTCCCAGTGTCTGCACCTGCCAGAATCTGATCGTTATGCTGTGGCAGACAATCTGGAGGTCCCTGAATGAGTTTAGAGACTATGTGGTCCATTCCTTGCCCTAGAGAATTTAGAAGACTGAAGCTCAGAGAGCAGACCCAAGACCTCCCAGCATCCTCTGGGGCTCCTGCTCTTCCTCCAGGGAGTCTTCTGTGATTTCTCCACCCAACATCAGCTTGGATCTGGGTTACGATGGGCTTGTCAGTATCTCTCCAGCCAGAAGCCAAGATACTGAGGGCAGCAGTTGTCTCCTAGAACATTCCTCCCCCAGGATCATTGGGCTCCTGGCTCATCCTGGTGCCTGCTTCTGTGGCTTGAACTGTCAGGTTCAATCCTCCCCGGCTTCTCCCCTCTCCAGGCTTCCCTATGGAGTGTGACAGGGCAGTGGGGTCAGAAGGGGCTGGCCTCATTCATATCCTGCTTTTACCTCATAGTAACTGTGTGACCTTGGACTGGCTGCTCAGCTTCTCTCAGGCTCTGTGGTCCTGTCTGTCAAATGGGAATTCTTTTAGTAGCTTCAAGGATGCCGAGGGGGTGCAGAGAGGTGATGGAAGTAGTAAGGGATGGATCCCATGGGCAAGAGGCTCAAGATTTTTTTCCCTGAGCTAGTGGCCAGTGTGTCCACTGTGTATCCCCGAGGCAGCAGCAGAGCTGTGAGTCATCCAGCTCTGGGAGAAAATAAGCATGGCCCCTCCAGCTTCCTGCTCCCATGTCCGGCCCTTGTTCAGCAGCACAATCGCTCAGGTCTAGACTGCAGGGTGGGCAGCTTAACCCCTGCAAGGCCAGTGGGCCCCTCGCCTACCCCCTCACCACTGGAAGCCAGAATTAGCAGGGCTGCCTGGGGGCGCAGAAGCTCCTGGGCCCCTTGATCACCTGCTGCCCTCCAGGCTGGCACCCACACATGGCTGGACTCAGGCCAGATGGGAGGGTCCCGCTGTTCCCCATCACCTGAAGATGAACCAGAATTCTCGGTCCTGCTACTTACTCATGGCCTTCAGCATCACTGGCCCTCCTGCCACTCCCTGCTCTGAAAACCTTCTGGCTGCACTGGCCTCTCCAGGTCCAGTGCAGCCAGGTCCAGTGCAGGTCCATCCAGCTCATGCTGGATGCCGAATGAGCTGCCCAGGCTCCCTGCCTCCCCTGGAATGCCCTTCGTCTCCTGTCAGGATCCTGTCTGCCCACCACCCATGGCAGAAATGTCCATGGGGGTGGGGGTGAGGAACAAGCATAGTGCTTGGCGTGGAGTAGCTGCCCAGAGCGCTCGCTGGAGGGTGAGCTGACGCATCTCTCACCTGCTGGGGACTGACCGACCTCAGGGGTCAAAACCTTTGTGACACTCAAGCCATGGTCAGCTCTGGGTGGCAGGTAAATTCAACTGTGATTTCTTAAAGCTCCCCTCCTATGATCTGTTCCCGGTACCATGTGTGTATATCGCTTCCTTTAATTGCCTCATGAAAAGACCCTTTCTTCCAGTTTACAGATGAGGAGACTGGCACATGAGAAGCTGCATGGTTCTGGAAAGAGCCTGGGCTTTGGGGTATGAGTTCTTGCTCCAAATCTCAGTTGCCTCAACTGAGAAATGGAGAAAGGCTGTATCTAATTCATTGGCTTGCTGGTAATATAAAGTAATGAGCTCCAGTGCTTCAGAGCCTTCTGTAGACATCATTTCCAGCTCTCATGATGAACTGCAAAAAGAATCGCCAGCTCCATTGTTCACACAAGCAAACTGAGTTGTGGAGACACTGAGTAATTTTCCCAAAGTCACGCGGGAAGCGAGTGGTAGAGCTGGGATTTGTATCCAGGACGGCTCTCACCCTAGACCGCCTGCCTTCAAGTCTCTGGGGGGAACTTCTCTAAAATATGAGGGCTGCTGGGTCCCTTGGGCCCCAATCTACGGGTACCTCGCTTTTGGGGGAGGAAAACTACAGCTTCCGCAGCTCGTAACCGGCCCCTACGGTGTCTGCGGAAGGAGGGGAGGGGATTCCACAGGTAGGGCCTCAGGTGCCCAGAGTCAAGCCTCAGCTTACCTGTACTGAAAATGGGGGCAGTGGCTGACAGGGAGGGGCGAGGCTCCAAGCTCCCCTTCCAGGGCTCCTCTCCCAATCCCAGCACAGAGCCTTCGAGAGGAGGGGATGATGTCATCCATGGTAAATCCTCTCTCATGGGGGAAGGGGCACCACTTGGGTGCCAGTCCTCTGCCCCTGGCATGCTGGGCGACTCAGGCGGAATCCTGCCCTCTGAGCATCTGAGCCCAGCACCCACGGAAGCCAGTGGGCCCTTGAGTCTGGGAGTCTACCTGTGGGAGAGCCGAGCTTACCCCTTCCCCGAGAACATCCCTCTGTGTCTGCGGCACCACCCCTGGGCGCACCTTTCCCAGCTCTGTTGTGAGCCGGGAGACCCAGTGTACCCCAAGGAGTGGCGCTTCCCTGGGAGCCAATGATGACCATTCTACATATGGGGAAGTCAAGGACCCTCACTCACCTTGCCTGTGGGCTGAGAGGTGTGTCCGTTCCGTCTGGCTGTCCGGCCGGGGCTGAGCGTGCCGTGGAACTGTGCAGAGCTCGGCCAACAGCCTCTGGAGGGGAGCCCCACCCGGCAGTGAGGGAGGCCTGGCCGCCGCCCCTTCAGGTTTTCCAGCTGGCCCTGGCCCATGTGCACCCCCCCGCCCCACCCCACCACCAAGGATGGTTTCCTGTTATTGTTCGTTTGTGAGGGCCGGGCTGGCTGCAGAGAGGCAGGCCCCGTGGTGGGCGGCCTTCTCGGCCCAGCTGGGCTGTCCCCATGGAGGCCTAGCCCTGGACTTGGCCGGGACGCTTAACTCGGGCCCCAACCCCAGGCCTCAGCTCTGGGGCTTTGAGCCCAACACCTGCCGAGGGGCTTCATTCATCTTCCTTGTAACCCCGAGGGCAGGTGCCGTCACCCCCACTTTATAGCTCAGGACACTGAAACTCAGCAAGTTTAAGGTGCTTTTCTACTCAGCTGGGGCGTAGCACAGCCAGAAATCCAGCCTGGGTCACCCTGGGCCCAGAGCCAGATTTTCCCCGGGTGACTCCATGACATGCTGGGGGAGGGGCAGACTTTGCAGGGGCTGGGGAGGCCTCGGGACTCTGCGGTGGGGTGGGTAGGAGATGGGAACAGGCCACAGCTCCTGGGTCTGTGAACTGGATTGACTTCCGGTGGGCGTGGGCCTGGGTTCCAGCTGTAAGGTGCCAGCCTGGGTGTTGGGGGTTAGGGGTGCGCCGTCTGGGTTTAGGAATATCAGGCGGAACCAGGTGCCTGATGGGCCAGTCATGCACCTCCACCCCAGCCTCAGTTTCCTCTTCTGTAAAATGGGGATAATATAACCTCAGTCTCACATGGCTGTTGAGAGAAACAAGAGTCCAAGAGGGGCGTGGAAGATGGGGAAGCTGAAGGTGGGACAGGGACCGTTAGAAGCAAGAAGCTGCGGGCAGAAGGCGCTCAGATTCTGTGAATCATGAGAGTTACAAGAGGAGGTTTTACAAACCTCAGATACCGGGGCCCCACCCCAGTCCAACTGATTTGGAATCTCCCAGGGCAGGTAGTGGGAATCTTTGACTAGTTGCCCCTGTTTTTCCATGGATGGATGAATGGCTGGGAAGTCCCAAACTGGTTCTCTTATACAGCTGGGCAAACAGAGACCTGAGAGGGAGAGAGCCTTGCCCAGGGGCACTAAGTCAGTGCACACTGGTGTGGAGATGGGGAATGGAGTGGGAGGGTATTTTGGGGGGGAGGGGAAGATAAAGATTTCCCTGTTCCAGGCATGTTGAGTTTGAGATGGCTTTTAGACACCCAAGTGGCCATGTCAGATTGGTAGCTGGAGATAGAGGTAGATAGTCGGATATAGGTGGATACAGTTGGGGACAGGGGTGGATTTAGTGGAGACAGTTGGAGACAGTGGGAGACAGGGTGGATACAGTTGGAGACACTCAGTCTGGAGGTGAGTTTTGGAAGCCCTGAGCGTATGGCTGGCACCTGAGGCCTTGGCAGTGGACGAGCTTACAGGGAGGGAGGCCCCGGGCCTCTGAGATTTGTAGATTCCTTAGGAGAGAGCCCAGGGAGGAAGGAGGAAAGCCAGGGGTGTTGGCTGGGTCAGCCTGGGAAAGGTGAGCACTGAGACTTGACCACTGGATCTGGGAGTCAGAGGTCATCGATGGCCGTGACCAGAGCAGGTTAAAGGGAACAGAGTAGACATGAGGGACTGAGGCGGGCGGCGGCTGGTGCAGGGGGATCAGGAAGTAGAGGCGTGTGATCCCGGCTCCTTCCACCAGACTTGGAGTGAATGGAGCAGAGAGCTGGGCGGCTTTTAGCTTTTGTTTTAAAGCAGTGCTGGCATGTCTGTGTGCTGAGGGGACTCCAGCAGCAGGGAAGGCAGACGACGCTGGAGGGAGGATGGTCCTGAGGCGGGCCTCTGCGCGGGAAGCCGCACACCACTGGCTGTTTGTGGAATGAACAAACAAAAGCTCAGCACTTTTTTCTCCAACAGGATTAACTCTGCCTTCTCCTGCCCGGGGGTGGGGTGGCCACAGAGAAGCCAGGACCGGCTCAGGGCTCCGTCCCTCAGCCTGACTTCTCCTCACACCCGCCTGTGCCAACTGCCTGCCCTTGTGGTCTGTGTGCCCGTGAGGTTGGTCCAGGCCCGGGCATCACTTCCTGCTGGGTCTCAGACTCAGCCCTGGTGACAGACAGGGATGGGGTTTGTCCTGGCACCATCTGCCAGTTCCCTTTGTGATCTCAGTCTGGGAGGAAATTGACTCTGCCCTGAAACCCCGCTGTTCCTGTCATTAGTAAACAAGGGGCTGGTCATCCGGGCGTGTGCCCCGGGGGTGGGGATGGGGCCTCCACAGAGAGGTAGTCCAGGCCTCGTGCCCCTGAGGGTCCCCTCAGGGTCTCCTGCCCGATTTCTGCCACTGCCCAGCCCCGATTCCAACCCCTCTGGAGGCAGAGGAGGTGACGGGAGGACACAAGGCCAGGAAGGTACCATCAGGGGCAAAGGAGGCAGCCCGAGGGCCGGCAGGAAACGGGGTGGTCTGCGGGACCTGATTAGTAGCTGGAGGGGGAAGTGACAATGGAGGCGGTGTGGGTGGGCTGGGGAGTGTGATAACAAGGCCTCTGCCAGGACATAAGTTGACCAGGGAGGGGGTCCTATGACATCTTGCTTGGAGGGGTTCAGGCTTGGGGATGGACAGACCCGGTGCAGATCCTATGCCAGCTTATCACTGGCTGTGTGACCTGGAGCCTGCCGCTCTGAGCCCCTTTCCTCACCTGTGAAATGAGTTACCAGTTCAGACTTTGCAGGGCTGTCGGAGCAGCAGATGAGACAATGAAAATAAATGATTGTAACAGCACACATGCGTTGAACAGGTATTTCTCAAAGTGTGCTCCTCTGGCCACCTGTCTCAGAATCATCTGGGGAGCATGTGTTGAGAATGCAGATTCCTAGGCCCCAGCAGGGCGGCAGAGGCAGAATGGCTGGCAATGGAACCCTGAGACCTACACGTATGTACCTCCCAGGCCACGTGTTTGCACACTCACATCGGAGGACCCTGGCCTGGGAGCTCTCCCTCCATGGGACACCCCTTTCAATCCTCAGGACAACCCTGGGGGAGGGTTCTATTGTTATTCCCATTATACAGATGGAGAAACATAGCCTGGGAACTAAGTGCTCCCAAGATCACAGAGCTTGTCAGTGGTGGACTGGAAATTCCCAGCCAGGCCTCTGTGTCCAGAGGCCATCTCCTCACCCACCAAGCTTTCCTGCCTGGCTGAGTCTGGCGCACAGTAGGGGCTTATCAGCAAGTGATCCCGTTCCTTCTTCCCCACAGTGTGGGAGGCCCAAGGATGGCACAGGGAAGCCGGGCCACCGGGTCTTTGCCCACACTCTTCCGCTCACTGGGCTGCTTCCTCTGCCCCCCTCACCTGCCTGCAGAGCCCCCATCCCCTGCTGCCCCCGGAGCTTGTCTCCTCTGCCCTCTCCTCTGCCACTCCGCTCCCTCCTCTGGGCCCCTGAAGCCTTTTACACAGACCCCCTTCACGGCCCACCACCTCGCTCATCTGCTTCTCTCTCTTCCCTGCACCTGGATTGTGTCTCCTTTGCGTGTCTTTTCCTGGTGGGCGCACAGCACGGGGTGAGCGCTCCATAAACGTGGACTTGAAACTGTGGGCTCCTAGAAGGGCAGCCAGCCCTCCGTGGATCAGATCTGCAACTTCTGCAGGGAGTGTGTGGGTGTGTAGGGCTCTTCACCCCTGCACGGGGTGGCCCCGCACCTGTAGGCAAAGCCCTGGCAGAGGGCATGAGCACAGCACACAGTGTCACATAACACGTAGGGAGGGATAAAGTTAGGATGCTCCTGTGAAAGTGCCTGGGATATACTCCGTGGTTCTGTCCATAGCTTGATTTGGTGGCTGAAATATTTTTCATTTCCTTCCTCTTTTCTCCAGATAATTGCTCGAAACCTGCAGTTGATGAGAAGTGTGGGTACCTGAGGCTCAGACTTTCCCGGGGCTGGGGGGACAGAGGGGACAGTTGAGTGCCCTGGGCTCCCAGGCTGCCCACTGGGGGCGGGCGTGGGGTGGGCAGGAGAGGGCTGTGTTACCCGTGAGCCTGAGTGCAGGGCGCTGTGTGAGCAGCCTGCTGAGTTTTAGATGAAAGGAAAGCACTTTGGCCTTTGGTGCAGCAGAGATTTGGGGAAGGCCCCCTGGCTGTGGAGAGGGCAGTGAACACAACTTTCCGAGGAAACAGAAGGTTGGGGGGGGGGGGGCGGGGGG